AGCAGAGAGAAAAAAGCTCTGGGAAATGCATTGAAAGGAACAAGCCTACATTGCCTGAGAGGATTCACTCGATGACCTAATGCAGGGGTAGTCAGTAGGTGGACCACAGGCCAAATCCAGACCACCAGACACTCTTGAACAGACCCCAAAATCTTTTTACTTAGTGCTATTTATTTATTTATTTTAATTATTTTCTTGGAGTCTGGACCTCGACTATACCTTGACAAAAAATAATTGACTACCCCTGACCTAAGGGATCTTTTCTTGCTTTAAATTTCTATGGTCTTTTTCTAGCACTAAAAACAATGGAGATCTAGGATCCAAGGCAACCAGAATTCACAGTGGAGTTCAGCACAAGTGAAAGGCAAAAGGGGATTTTTACTGAATTATAGTCCTTGGGGTCCAAACCCTTTTAGAGGTACCTTGCCACCTGTGATGTCTTGATTGAGCATGTTAGACTCACCAGCGTCATATGATGAGTTTTAAACCGTTTGTTAGTAACTCAGACAGCAGCAACAAGTAGATATGGAGGCACCACTGGACGCTTTGGCAGGCTTGGAGTATAACTTTCCATTAGTTGCTGAAACCTGACAGAGAGTGCAGGAGAAATGCAAGCCCAGCAGTCTAGGCTGGTAGAGCTGAGGGTACAGAATTATACACAAATAAATAAGCCTGAAAACAAACAAACCCTACTGTACATAGCACGTATGTAATGAGACACAGTGACCCACAGCAACTACTCGGGACCCTGCATTGTTCCTACACTGACTGTGGAATAAGGCACAGCGCTATGCACACATGGAGAAGCCAATTTCATAATAGCCCCCATAATAAAGACACTTATGATTTGACTTTCCTGGGTAACATATTATTTGTGATATTCTACAAAATTTCTCAAATCCTTATGCTGCCGTGTGAGGGTACAAAGTGTTCCCTCTGATCTAAAGATAGGGAAAAATTATGAATAATGGTATGTTTAGAGCTTTGAACTCCCAAACACCCAATAATTTCCTCCCCCTTTTCTTCAGGTGTCATTCATTTCTTCTTTTAAACTCTTCATCCGGCTGCTTTGGATCACAGTATCAAAAGATTTAGCACTGAAAATAAGAACGTAAGAATGGCCATAATGGGTCAGACCAAAGGTCCATCTAGCCCAGTATCCTGTCTACCAACAGTGGCAAATGCCAGGTGCCCCAGAGGGAATGAACAGAACAGGTCATCATCAAGTGCCAGCTTCTGGCAAACAGGGTAAAACGGGTAAAAGCCGTATCTCCAAAGACAATGGGTCTCCTATTCACAGTTAGTCATATGCTACGTCTTTTTACAATAAAACATGGGAAACAAATGCCAGAATGGCTTACGGCCCACATCTTGCAATGAATTAGAAAAAAAAATGGACGGAGCTGCAGTGATTTACAAGGAAATTATTCCACAGGGGGTCATTACAAAGCACAAGACCAGGGTTAACGATGTGGCCATAAATCCAGGATTAAAATTAGTGCCATGTAACTCACTGCAGTACATTTGTCTTTGTTATTAATGAGTAGATTTTATTAATAAGTAGACTGTTTGAGTTTCAAAACATTTTAAACAACTAAAGCATTTATTAGTGCAATACCTACATTAAGAGTAATTGAAACTGCTATAAATAGCAGCTCTAAGTAAAAGCAGAGATTAAGTCTCTTGGCAGGTATATAACTGAGACTATGTGAATATTAATTTCCATAATGCCATATCATTAAAATTAATGTGCTAATGATCTCATAATCCATCATTCATATTGATGATTGCTGTATTAAGGATTTCTGGTATCAGAGTACTAAATTCTCAGTGGGTGTAGCTCAGCCTTGCTCTGTTCAAATGAATATAGGCCAATTCACACCAAATGAGGATCTGACCCACAGTTCTGGAGGTATTATTTACAATTATTGCTACAATCTGGAGTGGAGGATGCATTCCAATATGCTAACTCAAATGATTTCCTCTTTTCTTTTATGTATCACTAAAGTACTAAAAGTCCAACACACACACATATAAGTGGACTTTAGTGCATTAGACCTTCTTCCTCATCAGTAGTGCAACAAGTACAGTAAATACCCTGGTAATTGTGTTTCACATAACATGTGAAATGGTAAACTCTAATCTTTATTTAGTGCCCATGTACATTTAAATGTATTATTTGTAGTGTTCTAGTTCTCTACCTTTTTTGACATTTATCTATGAACACTTCTGAGTGGGGTTGTGTGTATTAATATACAACCTGCACATAAGCTATGGCATTCAGGACACTTTTGTATTACACAGAATTGTTCAGAAGGGTGTTTTTCTGCTTAGCTGTTGTTTTTTGTTTTGTCTCTAATGGTATTTGGGTATACCAAGAGGAAAAACCCATTGTTGTCCATGTAGAACAGCAGCACTTATTGTGTCCAAATAATATGCATTTTAGCTGAACATAAATTAGTTCTAGATGTGTCTTAATCACGCTGCATTAACAGCTCTAAACTGTATTTCCTGAGGGTTTTTATGGTTCTGTTATGAAAGTGAATATGGAACAGCTTTGAACAAGTGTTCTGCAATTTTGTGGGAAGCCCACACTTACTAGGAAGTGAAAGTATAGCAAAGGACAATGTTTCTCCAATATCAGTCTGTTCTCCTGAAATATGTTGCTAATCAGTATTTAAAACTAAACAGTTTAACGTTTAACAGTTTAATGGGGGGAGGGGGAGGAATAAAATCAATGTTCCAGTCACACTTTATGGTCCCATGAACAATCATATTGAAAGCAATTCAGCCAAGACTCTGCGTTGGCTGATATTGGGCTCATTCATTTCATTTACTCTCATGCTTAGTTCTTCCTCTAGTGCTTAACCTCTACATTTCTCAATATATGCTGGTTTTTTCTTCCTATAATATGTGAACATGCAGAGCCCCCTGCTGGAATGTACAGGCTTTTACACTTAGACATAGTCCTGTCAGTCTCAAGTCTTCAAGTGTCACTGTGCATACGATAAAATTGTTGTCTCTTGATATTAGCCTAAATGTTGTGAGTTATAGAAGCATGCTTAGGTACTAAGCGCTCTGGAGGCTTAACATTTTCCTACTGATGTTCAGACAAGACCTACTGTTTCTTGTTGCAAAACTGATGCTTTATACTGCCAAGGAAGTTTTTCCTGGAGCTTCATGAAAAACTGACTTGAGGAGAGCATGGCCATGGAAACTACGGTGGGACAGCAGGATCTGGTCAATTGCAATTTCTTATCTAAACAGCCACAGGCTCAAGCCTTTAGAACAGATGAATTTTGGTTGTATTTCGCTCTCTTAAAGCTGTGCAGGATTGTAAACTTTGTGGGAAGATCACAAATTGTATTCTACTTAAATCCTCTGAAAAAAGGAACTTGCTTAGTGTAGTTTATTTTGGAATGCATTTTTATACTCTTAGCATTATAAAATAATTATAATCTAATGTTTCATGTATTCCTGAACTTACCTATAGCATTTTATGTTCTGGTCAATCAAGTACATTTCTCTGAAAAAATATTTTTTTTTAAAAAAAACTTTAAACAGTTCTAAAGCTCTTAACTCAGGAACCTGAAAAATCCTCATCCGATCACACCTTGTCTAAATGCCTGTATGCTACTGCAGAAGATTTGAGGATTCTGAGTTCCAGCATTGCCAAGTTTTGTGAGTCTATCACAAGTCTTGTGATATTTGGTGTTTTCTTAAAGCTCCTGCTCTTAGAGTCAAGTGATTACACGATCATCTCACTTTCATGTTAAAAAAAAGAAGTTTCAACCCCTCATGGTTGCAGAGAAAAGTTTGAAAATATGGTCCAAGTATACCCTAGCAGCTCAGAAACCAGAAGACAAAATGTATTTTTATGTAACCTCCTAATTTTTAAGCCAATGTCATGATTTTTTTTTTTTTTAAGGCATGACTCTTGATTTTTGAATGTCTGGAGTTGGCGATCCTGTGTGTAAACAGAACTCAGCTGAAGATCTGTTAACTGGTTTCCATTTCTTTTGTATTACCCCTTCCCTGTTACATAAACACAGTTACTTTGCATGTGTGAAGGACAAGTTACTCGTTTCTACTGAACAGTACATGAAGTTTTCATTAAAGTTGCAAAATTAGGGATTGGATGGATAATTTAAAAGGCCTTCTTCATTTCTGCTTCCAATATTGTGGTAGCTATGTTGGTCTCAGGCTATTAGAGAGACAAGGTAAAGAAAAGCTGTGGTGGCTTGTCTCTCAAGTTGGGTCAATAAAAGATATTACCTCACCCACCTTTTCAATTTCTAACGTATATGATTCAATCTGCATGACACACAATATTGACTGCAGGGGACAGTCCTTTACTGAAAATAATAGATTAGGTCTAATTCCTATGATTCTGTAGTATAGCATGCTATTGCTCTTAAGTGCTAGGCAAATAACTGAATATAAGCAAATAATTAAATACAAGCATGAGTCGGGCTATACTTAGCCTGCCTTACAGCTTCCAATCTATAATACATTCCTGGTACTGTGCTCTAAAAATCTTTAAATAAAAATCTGTCAAGATTGTCCAAAGGAACTCAACATAAAAAGACAAACTTTCCCAACAAATATACAACCATGTGTGTAAATAAGAAAACCATTGCTCCAATCCTTATCTACTAGATAAGAATAATAGGTGGCAAGGTCAGAGAGTAGGTGGCAAGGCATCTTTGATTAGAAGTGATTATGAGGAGTTACTTATTAAAGCATTTCATTCTGAACTGCCTGTATAGTATATACCCAACCCATGCAAGCTAGAAAGGCATCAAGTTGTATTTCTGAAAACACTTAAACTCTGTGCAATCAGAGGTGTAATCAAAGGCGTATGAATCTACAGAAAGACAAGGAGTACTTGTGGCACCTTAGAGATTAACCAATTTATTTGAGCATGAGCTTTCGTGAGCTACAGTTCACTTCATCGGATCACTGCATCGGATCACTGCATCCGATGAAGTGAGCTGTAGCTCACGAAAGCTCATGCTCAAATAAATTGGTTAGTCTCTAAGGTGCCACAAGTCCTCCTTTTCTTTTTGCGAATACAGACTAACAGGGCTGCTACTCTGAAACCTGAACTTACAGAGTACCTGCTCTGCAGATCCCTCTGATAACAGCAATAGAATGTGACAGTGAGATAAACTGTAATGCTTTCCCATTAGGGATGAAAACTCACACCCTCAGGGTCATGCACTCAGCCTGAACTCAAACAAATCAAGGCAGCACGTCTCAGAGCCTGAGTCTATAGATTTGGGCTTGTGCTAAAACGCTAAAAATAGCTATGTAGACGTTCCCGCTCAGGCTGGAGCTTGGGCTCTGAAATCCGAGGCAAGGGGGTTCCAGAGCCTGAGCTCCAGCCCGAACTCGAACATCTATACTGCTGGTTTTAGCACCATAGTGTGAGCCCAAATCTGCAGACCTGGGCTCTGAGACTTGTTGCCTTGATTTCAAATCACTCCGATTCCTGAAGTTCTTTCAGTACCTGACCTGCTGCATATGTAACATGCACAAGTCACATACATCAAGGAATCTAATTGTCACTTCCCTTTTCTCAGAGTGAAATTGTAACTCTTTGTGAAAGTCAGGCCCAGGTCCTCATCCAGCAGAAAACTCTCTCCATTGTCATGTCAGAGAACAACCCAACAGAGCTGGGTATCTGTTCCCGCTCACTCATTCCTTGGCCAGCACAAGGACTAAGTGATATGAAGGCAGCATGCCCAGTCCGGGAACTGGGGAGGAAAAGCGTAGTTGCCTCAAACTATTCACTAAGGGGAAGTACTGACAGCTGTCAAAGGAAGTTCAATCCAGAAAGATGGTGGCAGTAATAAGGGCATCAGGGGTGCAGATCTAAATGTTGGGTTATTACTAGGATATGGAGAGCCGAACAGGGAATACACAGGAGGATCATGAAAAACATTGGTTTACCAAGTTAATCATGATCACATTGAGGATGCCTATATTCAGCACTACTTACCTAATCACCCTATCCAGTTGGACAAGATTAAAGCACACTATGTGCTCTACACTACAGTTTTTGAACAATATCCCTGTACTTTGGTGCATTTTACCTGTGTGAGAGCACGCACATTACATATACATCCACAATTTCCCCCTCTGATCCTACACATAGTTGTTAACTTTCCAGCACCCATTTTGCTTATGTGCAGCCAATGCAAAGTCCACAGCCTGGTGCACACTGTGGAAGAGGAGGTTCTGTTCCTCTTTTTTAAAGTATTCTCCCCGGTGCAGGGAACTCCTCACAGAGGCATTGCACTGGGCCAGCAGCACTTGGATGCCTATCTCCCCATAATCTTTGCAGATCTCTTTAAGCGTGTGGATCCCAGCTGTGTCCAAGAACTGTATTGTGCAGCAGTCAATCACTAGGGTGTGAAACACCAATGGCTCAGTGACAAGCTGCACTGCAACATCCACCTGGCTGCCACCAGAATTCACCATTTTCTCTTTAAGCATTCGCTTTGCTGCCCTTTTCTTGGCTGCCTGCACCCCGGCTGGGTTGACTCCAGTCTGCTTATACAGCATGGATTTAAAGCATTCTTTGTTGATATAGTAGAGAGGTGCTTCGAAACGGAAAACCACAATGCCTGGCTTAGTCTTCAGGTTTTTGTAGGCAGACAGGGATTCATACATTTCAGTCTCTACCACCCAGCCAAGCAATGGTGCCTCTGGTCTCTGAGTCCTCACAATGACGCACAGCATTGAGAAGCAGACACCAATCAGCAGGCCAATTTCAGTACTTAGCAGTGCCGAAGCGACCATCGTGACTAACCAGATCACTGTGTCCACTTTGCTCAGATGCCACATTTTGGGCAGATCCCTGAACTTCTGCAGGGCTCCTCTGAGGTTCACAATGGTTATGACCCCTAGGACACATTTCTGAAGGGAGTAGAAGAGAGGTGCAATCAAAAGCAGAACTAATAGGATGACCAATGCGGTCACCACCCCGGAGATCTGAGTTCTGCAGCCCGTTGACTCTTTGACAAGAGTCTTGGCAAGAGCTGCACTAGTTGTGAAGCAGTGGAAGAAAGAGGGAATAATGTTGCAAAAGCCAATGGCGTACATTTCCTGATTGGCCTTAACTGTGTAACCATGCTTCTTGGCGAACATTTCTGAGAGGGACACAGTGATAGCAAAGCCAATAATGGCTATGGCAACAGCATCCATCGCCACACTAGAAATCAGATCCCATTTGGGTGGCTGGGGTGGCAGGAACCCAGTTGGAATGTGTCCAGCAACACTGGAGCCATAATTCTCCTTCAGCTTCCCAAAATGGGATGCCAGCGTAGCTGCCACAACCACGACCAGTTCAATGGGTATGGGGGCCTTGAGCCTGGATTTAAAGTGATCATTCAGCTCTTTGGTTGGGACGAGGACAAGGAGACACAAGAAGCTGGTGATGAGGTCGCAGATGTTGGTCTTGTGGATGTTTCTGAAGATGTTTATCCAAGTGGTTATGAGGGAGCCAGTGCCATTGCTGCGTGGAATGTCCAGGCCCAGAAGATACTTCACTTGGGACGTTAGGATAGTAAAGGAGGCACCTGTGACAAATCCGCCAAGTAAGGAATCAGAGAGGTACACTGAGACAAAGCCCACCTGAAAGAAGCCCATAGCAACCTAAAGGAATCAACCACACACAATAGATTAGAGTACAAATCTTAGCGTTATGGAATTTAGCAGGAAAGTTAGATAACATAGGTAATACGGCACAATATGTCACTTTGCAGGATATTGCACCATCTGATGAGTGAAGTGAAATGCAAGCCAGAATCCCTACCCACTCAAGATGCATCAGCCTTAAATGGGATGCATAATTGCTAATCAGGCATTGGCTTTCAGACAAGGTCTTCATTTTTTGAACTATTTTTATATTTTTGTTCATTGTTTCTTTCAACTCTCAGTAACAGCTTACAGCATCCTTAAAGGATAAGAGGGGAAGCACAGGAAAAAAGTTTTTTTACATTTTTGGTAAATTTTGTTGCTTCTCCCCCAAATTTTTGAAATCCCCTTGCCTTTAGGCGTTACAGAAGCCCAGCACCAATGCCCTAGTCTCTCTTGCATTTCTCCTCGTAGCCTGCAATAAGTTATCACCCCAGTCAAATACCAGCTTGCTCTTTTCACTAACAACTAACCCATGGCATGTCTAATTCAGCAAAAGAGTACAGAAACTCCCACTATGCCCAGGTTACACAAGTAAAAGCAAATTTTTAAATGTATATTTTTTATTCATATTTATGAATTCTAGTTCCAATTAAATCTTCAGTGCTGTCTACAGTTAGCGCATGATGGAAAGGGGTGGATAGATGTACAGATTCCTGCAGTCCCCTGTATTTACACAGCCACAGTGGTGGTGGCTAAGTGTCTCTGCTTCCCCATTAAACTTTCTGTAAGTTAAACACAGGCCTCCCTTACAACCAAGTTCAGTTATTTCTCCCTTTGAACCCCGCACTAAAAGCCCTTTTCACTGGCCAAACTGGCCTTTTCCCTGCTGTCATCTTAGAAACTGCCATGCCAGGATCCCACAAGCTGCCAGCTATGGTACTTTTACACCTCTTGGCTCAAACAAACTCGTCCCACTTGGTCACACGTGTCATCAGCTAGCGGTGGCAACACAAAGAAAATACAGGCATAGCTGAAAACTGGTCTAACGCATAAGAACTGCATACATTTACTGAGAAGAAGAATGGTCTTGAGGTTAGACACTGGACTGGGACTCGCGAGCTGAGTTCAGTTCCTGACTCTACCACTGACTCCACCACTGACTCCCTGTGTAACCCTGGAAAAGTCACTTGACTCCTCCTTCAGTTTCTTGTCTATAAAATGAGGATAATAATACTTCCTCTCCCTCACTCTTTATCTCTCTTGCGTACTTAGACTGCAAGCAACCTTGGGGCAGAGCTTGTCTTTTACTATGTGTCTGTATACAATAGAACCTCAGAGTTGCAAACACCAGAGTTACAAACTGATCAGTCAACCATACACCTCATTTGGAACCGGAAGTACACAATCCGGCAGCAGCAGAGACCAAAACAAAAAAAAAGCAAATACAATATAGTACTGAGTTTAAACGTAAACTACTAAAAAATAAAGATAAAGTTTTAAACAAAGATTTGACAAAGTAAGGAAACTGTTTCTGTACTTGTTTTATTTACATTAAGATGGTTAAATGCAGCATTTTCTTCTGCATAGTACAGTTTCAAAGCTGTATTAAGTCAATGTTCAGTTATAAAATTTTGAAAGAACCACCATAATGTTTTGTTCAGAGTTACGAACAACCTCCATTCCTGAGGTGTTCGTAACTCTGAGGTTCTACTGTAGTTCCTAGCACAAAGGGACCCTGTTCTTGGTTGGGGCTTTGAAGAGCAAACATAACATAAGTAATATTTTAGTTTAAGTGAGGTTCTATTGGCTGGTAAGCAGAGAGACCCCAGGCAAAACACAGCTAATTGCTGTTCTATGTATAACATCTAAATCAGGTAAAGTAACTTGACTTGTTTATGTAAAGAAGCCAGAGAGAGTGTTTTGCCAAATACCAAACAGCAATCCACAACCCCACTGCCTCACAGAAACCCAACCCACCACCACCACTCTATCTCAATTACTCAACACTGCCAGGTAGTACAAGATGACATCTTAGGTTGTATATTAAGAGGATTGTCTAGAATGTCAGAAAAATGTTTTCTTTTTCTCTCCCCCACATTCTGTTAGATGCTACAGTTGTGGGCACTCCAGAAATGAGGGTGTATGATTTTGGATGTATGCCTTCCTCTACAATGCTATGGAACCCAAAACAACAGCATTTTGCTAATGCACAAGAACCAGAAATTAAGCTTGCTGATCTAATTTCAGTAGCTAAACAGTGAAATACAAGCATAACGGTTAAAAAATATTATATTTTTAAATGTTTCCATTTTAATAAATTAAGGTATTAAGTAACAGATTTTTTTCAATTATGATTTTTATCTTTGTAGCATCCCTTTAAAATAATGGTAGGGTTCTGGCTTTGAACAAAAAGTCGTCAAGTTTTACAAGCACCAAATAAAAGCATCAAATACCATGTAAATTATTTTACAATTTGTTTCAGTGGAAAAAAAGCCAGCTGATCACACGTGAAATAAACAAAAAGTGGTCTGGATTTGAAAGCTGATGCTGCAAATTTTGTCCCAGTGAAAATTAAAGCCCAAATACAAATCAATGAAAAGAAGTGTTTAGGGCCAGACTGTAAGAAGTGTTGAGTACCTGATAATGTGAAATCAATGGGAGGTGAGCCTTTGGCAATGCTTAGAATCAGGTCCTTATAAAGGGAAATGTTGGTGGACCCTTAACCAGAACAGCAATATGGGACACTACTGCTATGAACACTACCACCACTGTCTCTCAGGCTGGTCTCAGAAGGCTTCAGTAAAGAGTTGAACTATAGCTAAGAGAGGAGAGGAAGAGAATTAGAAGCATTTTCACAGAACACCCATTTACCCTGCCCCCTCTTACCTGATAAACTCCAGCTATGAAGGTCACCGTGGCTCCCACAGTAATTGCATAGCAACTTCTATCACATAACAGCGGTTGTGATGTCTGGTTCACAGCCAAAGTGGTGGTATTTACATAAATAACCATATCTCTCTGAAGGCCACTATGAACACTGGGCTCTACGTCATACCCAGCTCTCTGTACCTCACGATCCACCACCTGTCCCACCATAAGGCAAAGAACACCAAAAATGCCAACTGATATATGACGAGAGGTACCAAATAGGAAATAAATAATGCTGGCAAAAAAGGATGTGTAAAGACCATATATAGGTTCCTGGCCAGCCAACAGGGAATAGGCAATGGACTGTGGGACCAGCAGGATGCCCACTATCACACCAGACATTATATCTCCCAGGAGGTACTCTCTCAGTTTATATTTGGGGACCCACTGCAAGACAGGGAGAAAACTGAAAATCAGGTCTTTAACTTTGGTTGGGGTGCAGCTGCAAGTTTTCGTCACTTTCTTGACCAGAAGTGCCTTCATATCAATGCTCGTCTCTTGAGGCTCCAGGAACATCGTGGGTTGAAAAATGTGTGTGTCATTCTCTCCCTCTGCCATTTCAGATGCTGATTGGACATGGCTGAGTTCCACTTCTGCCGCCATCCTGAAGGCTCCCTACCAACACAAAGATTATCAGGTAAGTTAGTTAACCTTGTGAAGCAAGGAGATTCTTTTCCCTAAGAATCAGGCAGGCACAGGCAATTCTGAAGGGGTTTATTCACGGCACTGGGAAGACTGATAAACAGCTTTGAAAGTATAGTGTTACAGTGATCAATTATATACCTTTTCTTATCAATCCATTTGCATTTACCTTGTACTTACAGAGACAAACATTATTTCAGAGAGAGAGAGAGAGAGAGAACATTTAACATGATAATGCCAGGAGCAGGACGTACGCATAGAAACTATTCTAGTTACATCATTTATCTGTGACTATCCTTAAGGCGAAGGGTGGGGTGGGGGTGAGTGTTCACAGATATCCGGAAAGCTGTGCGAGGGAAACTGTTCTTTCTTACCGAGAGGCTGAGTTACTAGGCGGACATCTGACCATATAAGTTTATCAAGTGTTTACAGCTGCCACTGCCCTTGTATTTCTGGTATTTCTGCTTGTTAGTTACGTGGGTTTCTGTTTCAGCTGCTAACTGAATTTTTAACTCTTGCCTAACAACCTTAAACTAATTTATAGATTATTCCAGACTTCTTCTTTTTTTTAATGGGAATTAATTTAATTCTTATGAAAGGCAAAAACTAACAGTACTAGCTTAAGTCAACAATTGTACAAGCAAGGTCTCTGCAATGTTCCACACAAACCTGTTATGATACAACTCAATCTTCCCAGCAACATGGGTGGGTGAGATTCTGTGGCCTGCGTTGTGCAGGAGGTCAGACTAGATGATCATAATGGTCCCTTCTGACCTTAGTATCTATGAATCTATAAACATCAGCTGTTATTCCTGTCCTCAGCCAGGCATAGGCATGGGCTGCTGGTGCTATCCAACTATATTGTGAAATGGAATGGAAAAACATCCCCAAACTCATTTTCACTTATGACCTATGTCAAGATTTGACCCCATGTCTTCAGGAACTAAAAGCTAGCATAATGCACCCCCTAACTTCTCAGCTTTGTATCTTTGAAGCTACTGCTTTCTCATTACCACACAAGACAAATACCTTCCCGCTGTGGCTTTATAAACCTAATCTGTTTCCTTTTGTTGTCACTAAAATAAACTTTGTTTATGATCAGACAGAGCCTCTCCATGAATATGACTCTGATTAAATCATAGCTACACACATACTGCAAGAAGAGAACATACTTCTTTTCATGTAATCAGCCCAACTGTGATATACGCACACCACCCTAGCAACACTTTTTCTTGGAGCACCTTCCCTGATGAGTCCACTCACTGTTGCTGGTCTATTCTATTCAGCAAAAATAGAAAGAGTAGGCTGTACTAGTTGAACATTCATTATAATTCAGTTTGTGAAACATACCCCTTGCAACTCAATTTCTGGAATAGCAGTTGAGGTCTAAGGCCTTGTCTACACTACGAAATTAGGTCGAATTTATAGAAGTCGGTTTTGTAGAAAGCGTTTTTATACAGTCGATTGTGTGTGTCCCCACACAAATGCTCTAAGTGCATGTAGTCGGCAGAGTGTGTCCACAGTATCAAGGCAACCGTCGACTTCCGAAGCATTGCACTGTGGGTGGCTATCCCACAGTTCCCGCAGTCTCCGCCACCCATCTGAATTCTGGGTAGAAATCCCAATGCCTGATGGGGCTAAAACACTGTCACGGGTGGTTCTGGGTACATATCGTCAGGCCCCCCCCCTCCCTCCCTCCCTCCGCGAAAGCAAGGGCAGACAATCATTGTGCGCCTTTTTTCTTGAGTTACCTGTGCAAACGCCATACCACGGCAAGCATGGAGTCCGCTCAGCTAACCGTCACCGTATGTCTCCTGGGTGCTAGCAGACGCGGTACTGCATTGCTACACAGCAACAGTTTATTGCCTTTTGGCAGCAGACAGTGCAGTATGACTGGTAGCCGTCATTGACATAGTCTAGGGTGCTCTTTTAACCGACCTCAATGAGGTCGGGGCACCTGGGCAAACATGGGAGTGACTCAGCCAGGTCATTTCCCTTTTAAGTTTCGTCTCATGGCAATTCAGTCCTACTGGCAGTGCACTGTCTTTTAATCAGCAGCCAGCAGAAGACGATGGCCAACAGTTATACTGCACCATCTTCTGCAGAGCATCCAGGAGATGACGATGGCTAGCGGTCATAATGCACAGTCTGCTGCCAGCAAGATGTATAAAGATAGATGAAGTGGATCAAAACAAGAAATAGACCAGATTTGTTTTGTATACATTTTCTCCTCCCTCCCTCCGTGAAATCAACGGCCTGCTAAACCCAGTTTTGAGTTCTATCCTTCAGGGGGCCATTCTGTTTCTCGCAAAGCCACCCCCTTTGTTGATTTTAATTTCCTATAAGCCAAACCTGTAAGCCATGTTGTCAGTCACCCCTCCCTCCGCCAGAGCAACGGCAAACAATCGTTTTGCGCCCTTTTCCCTGGATTGCCTGAGCAGAAGCAGACGCCATAGCACAGCAAGCATGGAGCCCGTTCAGCTCACCACAGCAGTTATGACCATTGTAAACACCTCGCGCATTATCATGCAGTGTATGCAGAACCAGCACCTGAAAAACCAAGTGAGGAGGCAACGGCAGCGCGGTGATGAGGACATGAACACACTTTTCTCTAAAACCGCGTTCCCCCGCAATTTGGAGATCATGGTGTTAATGGGGCAGGCTCATACCATGGAACGCTGATTCTGGGCCTGGAAAACAAGCACAGAGTGGTGGGACCGCATAGTGTTGCAGGTCTGGGATGACTCCCAGTGGCTCCGAAACTTTCACATGCGTAAGGGCACTTTCATGGAACTTTGTGACTTGCTTTCCCCTGCCCTGAAGCACAAGAATACCAAGATGAAAGCAGCCCTCACAGTTCACAAGCGAGTGCCAATAGCCCTGTGGAAGCTTGCAATGCCAGAAAGCTACCAGTCAGTCGGTAATCAATTTGGAGTGGGCAATTCTACTGTGGGGGTTGCTGTGATGCAAGTAGCCAACGCAATCATTGAGCTGCTGCTATCAAAGGTAGTGACTCTGGGAAATGTGCAGGTCATAGTGGATGGCTTTGCTGCAATGGGATTCCCTAACTGTGGTGGGGCTATAGACGGAACGCATATCCCTATATTGGGTCCGGACCACCAGGGCAGCCAGTAAATAAACTGCAAGGGGTTACTTTTCAATGATGCTGCAAGCACTGGTGGATCACAAGGGACGTTTCACCAACATCAACGTGGGATGGCTGGGAAAGGTTCATGACGCTCACGTCTTCAGGAACTCTGATCTGTTTAAACGGCTGCAGGAAGGGATTTACTTCCCAGACCAGAAAATAACTGTTGGGGATGCTGAAATGCCTATAGTTATCCTTGGGGACCCAGCCTACCCCTTAATGCCCTGGCTCATGAAGCTGTACACAGGCACCCTGGACAGTAGTAAGGAGCTGTTCAACTACAGGCTGAGCAAGTGCAGAATGGTGGTAGAGTGTGCATTTGGACGTTTAAAGGGTCGCTGGCGCAGTTTACTGACTCGCTCAGACCTCAGCGAAACCAATATTCCATTTGTTATTGTTGCTTCCTGTGTGCTCCACAATCTCTGTGAGAGTAAGGGGGAGACAATTATGGCAGGATGGGAGGTTGATGCAAATCACCTGGCCGCTGAATATGCGCAGCCAGACACCAGGGCAGTTAGAAGAACACAGCAGGAAGTGGTGCGCATCAGAGAAGCTTTGAAAACCAGTTTCATGACTGGCCAGGGTACTGTGTGACACTTCTGTTTGTTTCTCCTTGATGAAAACCCGACTCCTTGGTTGACTAATTCCCTGTAAGCCACCCGCCCTCCCGCCTCCGATCACAGCTTGCTTGCAAAGGAAAGAAAGTCACTATCATTTAAAAACCATGTATTCTTTATTAATTGATTATAAAAATAGGGAGATAACTCACAAGGTAGCCGGGGTGGGGTGTGGGAGGAGGGTAAGAGGGAAGGAAAAGGACACTTTAAAACTTGTTGAATGCCAGCCTTCTGTTGCTTGGGCTGTCCACTGGGGTGGAGTGATTGGGTGCCCAGAGCCTCCCACCCCGCGTTCTTGGGCGTCTGGGTGAGGAGGCTATGGAACTTGGGGAGGAGGGAGGGCGGTTAAACAGGGACTACAGCAGCAGTCTGTGATCCTGCTGCGGTTCTTGAACCTCCCCTCCCCCAGACGCCGGAGCATGTCCATTTGATCCCGCAGTAGCCCCAGCATTTCCTCATGCTTCTCTGATCTTCTTGCCGCTACCTCTCCTCATGTTCATCGGCCACCGTCCTGTACTCTTCTACTGTGTCCCTCCACACAGCTCTGTCAGTGCCGGATGACTGCATGAGCTCAGAGAATTAAGTATTTCCAGGATAGCTTAGTGGTTTGAGCCTAAAATTGGCCTGCTAAACCCAGAGTTGAGAGTTCAATCCTTAAGGGGGCCATTTAGGGAACTGGGGCAAAAATTGGGGATTGGTCCTGCAGGGGGTTGGACTAGATGACCTCCTGAGGTCCCTTCCAACCCTGATATTCTATGAAATCTATGAAAAACATTTCCTTGCGCGTGCGTTTTTTTCGCCGCCTTATCTGAGATAGCCTTTGGTAGGGAGGAGGGAGGCTTGAAACATTTGAAGCTGCTGGAGGTAAAAAAGGGAGTGAAGTATTTAAAAAGATACATTTTACAGAACAATGGCTATACTCTTTCACGGTGAACAACGCTATTCACATTACATAGCACATGTGATTTTGGTATAAGGTTGCATTTTGCATCTTATATTGAGTGCCTGAGGCTTTGGTGTTAAAAATCAAACACGCAGGGCTGGGCAACAGAATTCAGCTTGCAGGCTGTTTTCCTGTTAACGTGCAACAGCAGAAACCAAACTAACCCCCTCCCCCCATCCAATTCTCTGGGATGATCGCTTTTCCCGTCCCCCCACCGCCTGGCTGGTATCAGGGAAGATCCCTGCTAGCCAAACACGAACAGCTCAACGCCAATGGCCCCTCTCCCCACCTCTTGGCTAACTGCAGGGAAGATTTCTTTTCAGCCACAGGCAAACAGCCCAGCAGGAACGGGCACCTCTGAATGTCCCTTTAATCAAATTCCCCTATTTCAACCAGGTTACCGTGACTATCACTCTCCTGAGGATAACACAGAGAGATAAAGAACGGATGTTGCTTGAATGCCAGCAAACACCGGGACCATACGCTGCCAGGCTTTGTCATGCAGTGATACCAGATTACTTGCTACTAGCATGGCGTGGTAAAGTGTCCTACCATGGAGGACGGAATAAGGCTGCTCTCCCCAGAAACCTTCTGCAAAGGCTTTTAGAGTATCTCCAGGAGAGCTTCATGGAGATGTCCCTGGAGGATTTCCGCTCCATCCCTAGACACGTTAACAGACTTTGCCAGTAGCAGTACTGGACACGAATGCATCCCAAGTCCTCAGGGCTACTTAATCATTAAAAAATGCTTGCTTTTAAAACACGTATTATATTTTAAAAAGGTACACTCACCAGAGGTCCCTTCTCCGGCTTGGTTGGGTTAGGAGGGTATGTCAGTGAGGGTAATAAAAAGATCCTGGCTGTCAGGGAGAACGGTGTGATGTGTGCTCTCCCCAAGCTCGTCCTCCTCCTCCTCATCTTCCCCATCTGCAAAATCCTCAGGCATGGCGGAGAGTACCCCATCATCGGAGTCCATGGACAGGGGTGGGGTAGTGGTGGCGGCCCCCCCTAGAATTGCATGCAGCTCAGCGTAGAAGCGGCATGTCTGGGGCTCTGTCCCAGAGCGTCCATTTGATTCTTTGGTTTTCTGGTATGCTCCTCTGAGCTCCTTAAGTTTCACGCGGCACTGTGTTGCGTCCCTGATGTAGCCTCTGTCCCTCATGGCCTCGGAGATTTTTTGAAATGTTTTAGCATTTTGTCTTTTGGAACGTAGTTCTGATAGCACAGATTCCTCTCCCCATACAGCGATCAGATCCAGTACTTCCCGTTCAATCCATGCTGGAGCTCTTTTTCAATTCTGGGACTGTGTGGTCACCTGTGCTGATGAGCTCGCCTGGCCAAACAGGAAATGAGATTCAAAAGTTCCCGGGGTTTTTCATGTACACCTGGCCAGTGAATAAGAGTTCAGAGTGCTGTCCAGAGCGGTTACAATGGTACACTGTAGGATAGCTCCCGGAAGCCAATACCTTCAAATTGCGTCCATACTAACCCGAATTTGAAACGGCAATGTCAATTTCAGGGCTAATCCCCTCGTTGGGGAGGAGTACAGAATCGGTTTTAAGAGCCCTTTATGTCGAAAAAATGGCTTCGTTGTGTGGACGGGTGCAGGGTTAATTCGGATTTAATGCTGCTAAATCCGACATAAACTCATAGTGTAGACCAGGCCTAAGTCTTTCATTAGTGTTTTCTTTCTAGTGCAGTTAGGATGCCAGCCAGTTATACTGGAGCTTACTTGTTATCAAAAAGCAGCAATCTTTATCCAAATGGTTCTGTTTCAGCACATGATATAGAACAGGAACACTTTGCATGCACTTTTCCATTATTTTTTTTAAAGAAGAAGAAAGTTTGGATTTCAAGCAAATTATATCCAACCAAAGGAACAGAAACAAGCATCTTAACTGGAAATATGGGTTCTAGATGACATGCTCCCACCAACAGGTTTCTCCTACTGTAGGTTGAATGGCAGATGATATATGAGCAAGGTGACTGTAATAAAAAACATTCTTATAATAAGAACTTACTTCCTCAACTTGTGACAGCAAAATATCCAAGCAGACAAGCAAATCAAAAACAACCTGAAAGAGACATCTCTAACACATGTACGCAATTTGGTGCTTACCCAGCAGTCTTCTGCTTCAGAGTCTTTTGCAAACATTACTTCCTTCGCAGATGGCTAGCAAAGATGAATTAAATATTATCGCTCATGTCAAGGTTCCTTCCCCACTCTGAACGCTAGGGTACAGATGTGGGGACCTGCATAAAAACCTCCTAAGCTTACTTTTACCAGCTTAGATTAAAACTTCCCCAAGGTACAAACTATTTTACCTTTTGCCCACTGCCACCACCAAACGTCTAACTGGTATTATTTTATTAGGAAAGAGTCCGTTGGGAAACGTCTTTCCCCCCAAAATCCTCCCAAACATTATCCCCTCTTTCCTGGGGAAGGTTTCATAAAAATCCTCACCAATTTTCATAGGTGACCACAGACCCAAACCCTTGGATCTTAAGAACAATGAAAAAGCATTCAGTTTCTTAAAAGATGAATTTTAATAGAAGAAAAAGTAAAAAGAATCACCTCTGTAAAATCAGGATGGTAAATACCTTACAGGGTAATTAGATTCAAAACACAGAGAATCCCTCTAGGCAAAACCTTAAGTTACAAAAAGACACAAAAACAGGAATTTCCATTCCATTCAGCACAGCTTATTTCCTCAGCCATTTAAAGAAATCAGAATCTAATGCATATCTAGCTAGATTACTTACTAAGTTCTAAGACTCCATTCCTGTTCTGTCCCCGGCAAAAGCATCACACAGACAGAGAGAGAGGCTTTGTTTCTCCCTCCCCTGCAGCTTTTGAAAGTATCTTGTCTTCTCATTGGTCATTTTGGTCAGGTGCCAGCGAGGTTATCCTAGCTTCTTAACCCTTTACAGGTGAAAGGGTTTTTCCTCTGGCCAGGAGGGATTTTAAAGGTGTTTACCCTTCCCTTTATATTTATGACAGCTCATATTTTACATAGGGTGAAACTCAGCCAGAAACTGACTTGCTCAAGGCCACAAAGGAGTCCAAGTCAGAGGTGGTATTAGAACTTCGAAGTTTGTAGTTCCCAGTCCTCCACCTTCAAAACCAGATCTCACCTCTTTACCAGGTCAGCTCTACTAATAACAAAAATATTTATCATTTATATAGCAATTTGCACTTTCAATGTGCAGTTCAAACATTAATGAATGCAGAACGCATATTCTACGTAATGTCAACTTCTGAATTAATTAGCAGAAGCATATTTGAGCTAGGCTTGCTGAGAATATACTGCAAGATTCTCACTGGGAATGCTTTCACCTAATTAACACTTTGCAAAGAGCTATAAATTGTTTATTACTACTTCTACTACTTCAGGATGAATCTCTTAGAAACTGTGTACACGTGGGTGAAGCGGGAGTCAGACTTCGGAGTTTAGACAGCTTGCTTCTCCTGTGGTCTGTTACAAGACACCACTCTTTGGAGTTGTGGAACTAATTTCAGTTTACAGGGTGCATTATCTACACCTCTCCATTCTGTGTATGAAGGCTCTTAAGCAGGGGAGGCAGTCCACTGGCCTCTAATGTCATGGTCATCATCATCCATGTCTATAGTTGTGTTTAATAGTCTGTTAATGCAGAAAAACAACTCAGACTAATTGTCTCTAGGATCTTCAGGCAGGATTAGGGTGATAATTTTGACAATGCAAAGAAATTTAAATGGTAAAGTATCTGCTTTCTTGAACTGCCGAAACCTGCCCATCACACCAGAACCCATGATAGCATTTAATCTTCAAAGTGGCCTCCATTTCCAACTAGCAGTATTCAATGCACATCTACATTGAAGTTCCAATTAAGAATCAATACATTCTTATTAGTTCAGTTACTCCATATTACATTGCAACATATTTCACTTTGGAACCTCTGTTTTGTATTAACCTCCAGTGATTGCACCACCAAACTTGAGCTATTCCATTGTTCAATAGCAATTGAAGGTTATAATATTTTGATCAATTATATTGAACTGGGTCATTCTCCCTTCCCTTCAAGTATACATTCAAGTTCTTAGAGAGCAGAGTATTTTAGCCACCTGACACCCACTGAAACCAATGAACTAATCCACTCAGAGTCCAATGCAATTCTAATTTTAGGGGTATATCTTCAAAGTACCAGATTTTTTTTCTGTACATAAAAACAAAGACAAAAGGATGAATAAAAGCCAAGGCCATACTAAAAAGGGTGTGAGGGAAAGGCCTCAGCCAGCTAAATCCTCACAGAGAGATTTGGAATTATTGAGAAACTGAAATAGCTATTTGGTAAATTTCCTCTCTGCATATAAAGAGTACTGGTTGGGTTTCTGCATGAAGTGTCTGTATGGTGGTTTGGGCAGAGGGACAGAGTGGAGGGGGTAGGGAGACGAAGGAGAAACACACACACAGAAAAACCACAAATACTTCATTGAAAGAAGGAACCCAGGTCACTGACAGACTGGGCTAGTCACACTTCTGAATGGAACATCCCACACACACTTATGACAGTGAATACCACAATGTATTCAGCCTGCAGCTCAGCCCAATTTGAGCTTACTTACTCCGATTAGTCTGACTGTGAAGTTAAACTGAAAAGATTTCACAAACTCCACAGCCTACAAACTTACAACAAAAAAACTTCAAAAACAGACTCCAACGAGAGACTGCTGAATTGGAATTAATTTGCAAACTGGACACCATTAAATTAGGCTTGAATAAAGACTGGGAGTGGATGTGTCATTACACAAAGTAAAACTATTTCCCCATGTTTATTTTCCCCCGCTACTGTTCCTCACCCGTTCTTTTCAACTGCTGGAAATGGCCCACCTTGATTATCACTACAAAAGGTTTTTTTTCTCTCCTGCTGGTAATAGCTCACCTTACCTGATCACTCCCATTACAGTGTGTATGGTAACACCCATTGTTTCATGTTCTCTGTGTATATAAAATCCCCCTACTGTATTTTCCACTGCATGCAACCGATAAAGTGATCTGTAGCTTATGAAAGCTTATACTCAGATAAATTTGTTCGACTCTAAGGTGCCACAAGTCCTCCTTTTCTTTTTGCGGATACAGACTAATACGGCTGCTACTCTTAAATGGTGTTTCCTGCAATGCTAGGTGCATGAGAAATATAACAGAGAAGGAAGACAGACTAGACTATAGTAAGCATAGCATAAATATTAGGAATAGAAAGACAGACTCATCAGTGTGGTCATTACTGCAACTGGTTAAAAACATTATTTCACGACCATTTTATGTAAAGAGTCATCTATCCAAGCACTTCCTTGTGTAAGCTTGCTGAACATCTAGTACTTGCTGATACACCCCAGGGAACAAAGACATTATTACATGGAACTAACTGCCTGCAAAAGTCAAACAGACCTAAATAATGTCCATCACCAGTGATTTCATTTTACATCTATTATTATAAAATTGAAACAAAAACAAAAACAAAAAAAACCCACACACACCTCAGAAAAACCCAACAACCCTTAGCTAAAGCAATGTTAAGTTTGCAATTTTAAACACAAAAATGTATAGAAATGAAAAAATATGGTTCTGGGAGCAACATTAATCTATCTGCATTGCACATGCTGTATTTTAAGGTATACACTGAACAGTGTAATTATCCCAAAGTGCTTCTGTGCAGTGTGGATGAGTTAATGTTGCTGTGAGAATGCTAATTTTTGCATTTCCTGACTGTGTTTAAATATGCAGCCTTAATGATTCATTAATATTGATTTAGTTTGTTTCTGTTTTGTTTTTTCTTTTTTTAAAAAGGGAAAGGGGAGAACAACAACTTCAAGAAAAAGAAATACAAAGTACCAGATGACTGGTAGGTAGCTAATGTAATACTGACTTTTTTTAAAAAGGCTCCAGAGGCAATCCTGGCAATTACAGGCCAGTAAGCCTAACTTCAGTATCAGGCAAATTGACTGAAAGAGCACAGAGCAGAATTATCAGACACACAGGTGAACACAATATGTTGTGGAAGAGTCAACATAGCTTTTATAAAGGGAGATCATGCCTCACCAATCTATTAAAATTCTTTGAAGGGGTCATCAAGTGGATAGAATATACTTGGATTTTGTGAAAGCTTTTGACAAGGTTCCTCACAAAAGACTCTTAAGCAAAATAGGCAGACACAGGATAAGAGGGAAGGTCCTCTAATGGATCAGTAACTAGTTAAAAGATAGGAAACAAAGGGTAGGAATAAATGGTCAGTTTTCCCAGTGGAGAGGTAAATAGTGGGGTCCCCCAAGGATCTGCACTGGGACTAGTGCTGTTCAACATATTCAATAATGATCTAGAAAAAGGGGTAAACAGAGAGGTGGCAAAGTTTGCAGATGAGACAAAATTACTCAAGATAAGTCCAAAGCTGACTGCGAAGAGTTACATAGGGATCTCACAAAACTGGGTGACTGGGCAACAAAATATCGGATGAAACTGAATGTTGATAATTGGAAAATAAGGTACATTGGAAAATATAATCCCAACTATACATACAAAATAAAGGGGTCTAAATTAGCTGTTTCCACCCAAGAAAGAGATCTTGGAGTCACTTGGGCTAGTTCTTTGAAAATATCTGCTCAATGTGCAGCAGCAGTCAAAAAAGCTAATAGGATGTTAGTAACTATTAGGAAGGGATAGATAATAAAACAGAAAATATCATAATGCCACTTGTGATGGGGTGGACTAGGCCCAAAGGCCCCCTGCTGGAGGCCTCAGGGTTCTGCTACACCCATCCCAGGGAAGCAGCAGTGGAGAGGTTTTCCAAGCAGGCTACAGTGGCTGCAGGGGAAGCAGCCAATCAGGGCCCAGGAGGGCCATATAAAAGGAGTTGCAGCGCAGAGCAATAGTTTAGTTGCTGCTAACAGCAGGAGAAGAAAGGACTGCAGTCCTGAAAAAGCAGCAGGGCCATGGATGGTTTGCTAGCAGGGACCGGGGGAGCATTGAGGGAGCTTCTAGCTGGTTGCTGAGTCTGGGGAGAGCTGCAGGAAGATAGTATCTCCAGGGAGGAAGCCCTAGGGATACAGCTCCATACCAAGGCTGGACTACTTAAAGACCAAAGCCCAGGGAGGGCTAGAGAGAGACACCACCAGAGGGGCACTGAGATATACAGTCCACCGGGGCCTATCCTGGAAGGTGTTTGTGTTGGTTAATAGGCAGACAGTGTGACTGAGCCAGAGCGCTGTCACTGACAAACCCACCTGAGAACCACCAAAGGGGGTCACCAGAACTAAAGAACACAGACATGCCCAACCAGAAGGAAACACTTGCGAGAGGTGGGTGCCAACCCTGTTACACCACTATATAAATCCATGCTATAACCTACCTTGAACGGCATGCAGTTCTGGTCACCCCATTTCAAAAAAAGATATATTAGAATTGGAAAAAGTACAGGCAAGGGCAACAAAAATGATTAGGGGTATAGAACAGCTTCTCTAGGAGGAGATATTAAAAAGACTTGGGACTGTTCAGCTTAGAAAAGAGACAACTAAACAGGGGATATGATAGAGGTCTATAAAATCATGAATGGTGTGGAGAAAGTGAATAAGAAAGTGTTATTTACCCCTTCACATAACACAATAACCAAGGGTCACCCAATGAAATTACTAGATGGCAGGTTTAAAACAAACACAAGGAAATACTTCACATCATGCACAGTCAACCTGTGGACCTTGTTCTGAAGGCCAAAATTTAACTGCGTTCAAAATAGAATTAGATAAATTCCTGGAGGATAGGTCCATAAATATCTATTAACCAAGATGGCCAGGAACATGACCCCATGCTCTGGGTGTGTCTAAACCTCTGACTGCCAGAAGCTGGGACTGGAATATAGGCGATGGATCACTCGATAAATTGCCTTGTTCCGTTCATTCCTTTTGAAGCATCTGGCACCAGCCACTATCAGAAGACAGGATACTGGGCTAGATGGACCAGTGGTGTGACCCACTATGGCCATTCTTATGTTGTGAGCATCAGAGCCACTAGCAGGAGCTTCTTCCACATGGGAGCATGTCAATCAACAAATGTTTTATGTAGCACCAAAGGCAACGCTGTAAGTAACTTGTTTTCCTGTCTCCACCTATCAGCAGGAGGCATACATCATTCGCTGTTTGGGCAGGCACAGAAAGACAATAGTGGAAGTATGTTTTCTCTCATTTATACACATACTCAAATGGCTGAATGGATTTTAATTCAAGCTTTCAAGAGACTCTCACCTTTGGACTGAGGCCAAGAATGGAAAGTTTCAACCCAAAAAGGTATATGAGAAAGCTGTGAGTGAAAAGAGGATTACTGTGGAAGGTGAGCTGTAGCCTTTACTATAAGGTTCGCAGCTATATAAAATACCTGTATTTGTTTAAATCCTCTGAACAATACTACTGAAGATAAACATGATAATTAGAAGTTAATGTAATATGGTAACCATGTGACTCATTATTATTGCAGATTTAAGCATTAGTCACATGAGATGACAAATTAAATAACTCTTGGCCTCTTGCAAATTACATGAGTAGCAAAGCTGGTTTGCTAACCACTAATCAAACAGAATATAGGTTTTTGTGCATCCGAAAGCACACGACCCTTTCTTTGGCAACAGAATTGGGGGAAACTGTCTCCAATTATATTTTTCTTCAAATCTTCCACTTAGCACTGATGCAGCAGTGAGGAGGTTAGAAACAATGGTAAAAACACCAACAACTGGTCTATACTAGCCAGCCACAATTCTACCACCAGTAGAGCTTACCAGGGCTAGTGCAATGGTGGGTAATTTTAAGAAAAATGCCTAGGAAGACACAGACAATTCACCACAAATACTATTATTATTATAGTCAATCAAATCTGTGTCAACCAGTTAGATTAGCAGATGAATTTCGGTCAATCAGAAATGAATGGATTCATGAAAGTGCAGCTTACAAAAAAGCCTGATCTTTTATGAACAGTCATTGCATCCAGAAATAGAAAATACCTATTAGGTCCTGTGACCCACTGAGGCACAATGTCCTGTCTAGGTCACATCCCTACCATTTCAGGATTGTTCTCTATTTTTTAACATTTTGCCCAGTCTAGTTTCAAAATGTTCCAAGTAATGAGACAAAGAGGAAAACAATAGCTCATTTATGACTAAATGAAACCCAATACAAGTCCATTTCTGAAGAAGACTACAGTGCAACTTTTTTATGTTTGTTACAAAGGCTTTCTTTTCAATTAACTATTATAAAAACAAACACCTGCCCAGCACAGTGTCCAGTGACAGCACTATATGCTCTAACACGGGGAATCCAAATTTAGGTTCCATATTCACAGCTGTTGGAACTAGAGGTGCTGGGGGTGCTGCTGCACTCCCTGGCTTGAAGTGGTTTCCATCAAATAGAGGGTTTACACTTTGGTTCAATGGCTCTCAGCATCCCCACTATACAAACGGTTCCAGCAGCCCTGCCCACATTAGCTGGCTGGGGTGTGCTTCATTTTAGACCCAAATATACATCCATCTTACACTTAACATGAGGGCGTCCCCTCTTAATCACTCTAGAAGTGTAAATCCACAAACCAGAGTCTATTAACTCTCCATCTAAACTATAGTATCACTACTGTACAGATCTAATAAATCCCTAACGATTCTGAACTTCTCTCTTATGCTAGTCTCATATCTGGCAGGATACAACTAAGATTATGTCATTACCATATAGAACTATAACACTTTATAAACATTGATTAATTAAGCCTCACAACAGCTCTGTGAAGAATGTATTCTGATCCCTATTTTTCAACAGGGAAATTTACAGAGTAAGTTACCCATGGTCACACAGCAAGTCAGTTCCAAAAGAGATCTTCGAATTCATGACCCTTGCCTCTTCCAGCACTCACTTGATAATGTGCTCTCCCACATGGTATTGCAAAATTCTAGTTGGCTGTTATTTATAGCGTGTGCGTATAAAACAAATACTTCAAGTCAATACTTCAAGGATAAAGGGTGCACGTATCTACAGTATGCACTATAAGTGCACGCTGTATTTATGATTTAAGCCTTTTTTTTCAATTTATCTGTCCACGATTATGAACCAAGAATCATTCTACCAAAACCCTTGTGTGAATGAGTACAGTAAAATGCTGACATTTTGTTTTTCAATTTAATCTCCAAACTACTTGTAACTGTTACAAACTTCTTAAACAGGTTCACTATTTTCCTACATTACAGTAATCTAAATCTTTCTGACTCCATCTTCTCCAAAAATCACAGAGGGCTCGCAGCAACCTTGGAGTTATTCTTAATTTCTGTCAGAAAATTCTGAAATGACAGCCAGCTATATTATTTATTCCTGTCTGGTATTCTTGGATTCAGATGTCCTAAGTGAATGTCTAGACAGCAGAATCATGGTCTAAGGGAAAATGATTTTGCTAGTAAGTTGTGGTCAATACTAGTGGACTCACTTACACAAAGTCTTTATATGCATCTGTATAACTGCCTTCCTTATGTGGTGTGAAAAGGATCTTTCATCAAAAAGACAGGCATTGCCTGTAAGGGTGAAAGGACACTGGATAGTGGCAGAATTTTCATCCAGTTACACTCATTTCTGACCAAAAATGCCGCTTTGTATTATTTCTGTAAGCAGACAACCCAAGCCAACTAGCATAAAACTTGGATTCTTTCCGTTCAGGGATAGAGGACAAAAAAACTTCAGTTAAGTACAGTGAGCACAGCATTTAATTTCAGAAAAGGAGTTTCCAAAGTCTGTTTACTTTTAGAAGACGTTATTTTTATACGACCAATTTCCATGCCCAGAATTCAGTCTTACCAGTTCCTTTCAGTCTGAATATGGTCTTTGAGGAGTGCTTAATTGCTTCAGCTCCATTACAAATGCTGTGAAGTAAGAGAAACGGTCACCGATATCCCTCTGTCATGAGACATTTACCACAAGGACCTGTCTTAAAATCAGATAAGGGGACGTATTCAAGTTATGCAAGCTTAAAATTTGTACAATATCCAGATTACATATAAGTCAGTTTAAAAAGACAGGGGATTCATTTTCCCTTTTACTGAACCATTAGCTGCAATCTGCCTAGTAGTCTAGCCTCATGGAACCAGGAACTGCAGCAAGAGGTCTCTGCTGGCAAGGATTTCCATGTAACCGTCCCAGAACATGGTCACTTGGACAGTGAGAGAACAGTAATGGGAATTTTAACACACTTATGTGCTCAAACAATTCATTACAACTTTAAACTCAAGTCAAGTTTGTACTTACAAGCAGAAAGAAAATCCTGCTTGCTTTCCAAAATACAGACTCCAGATGTCAAGATTGGCTACCTAAACTATATGTGCGCAAACACCCACGTAAATGTGCAAATACCCAGTTTTGTGCACCAACAGTTGTGTAGTTTTATGCAGCCACTTTTCAACACTAAAAGCTAATTTATACTTGAAAGTTCTTTCTGATTAATGCATGGTGTGAATTTAAAGTTCAGTAGCTATTCCTGTATAACTCCGTTTGTAGACACACTTATTCCAGAATAAGAGCCCTGAGTGCACAAGCAAACTTTCTAAAGAGAAGTTTGGATTTTCAAAGGCACCCAAGTCCTATTGAAATTAATTAGGAGTTACGGCCTAACAATTTTAGGCTCTCTGGAAAATCCAACCTAAATGTCTAAGTGTAAAAGCAATACTTTGGAAAACATGCCCTTTCACCTGTGGTTATTGGAGGCAAAAACTACCCTGTACCAAAGAGTCCATCCAGGCCCGCCGTCAGCAATTCCAGGCCCCAGGGCAGAACAGTCATTGGGCCCCCGGGCCCAGTGTGGAGTCACCACATGGGGGCAGAGCTGGACCACATGCGGCGGCTGGAGCACGCACACATGCACAAGCCACGCCTACGCCCACACGGTCCGCCTGACATTTGGGTGGTGCTGTGCCTGCACTACTGGTGCCCAGCGAGCTGCTGGCTGCGCTGCTGAGAGCGCTCTTCCAGCATGGCCAGGGCTTCCAAATGCCCGCCCAGCTGCCTTCACCGCCTCCGGTACCACCCTGCACGTGCCTAGGAGCCCTGCAGCCCACCCAGGTGATTTAAAGGGTCCAGGAGCCTTGGCTTGGGCCCCTGGGCAATTGTCCCCTTTGCCCCCCGCATCAGCGGGCCTGAGTCCATCCACAACTGTAGAGGGACTGGGGGAATCCAGTGTCACTGAAATAATGAGACAGCTACTGCAGTAACATTCCAGAACCAATATAAAGATCACATGTGGATAAGATTGAGCTCAAATTCTTGCAAAAAATCAAACAAATATGACATTCTCCTATGAAGTATGCCAGTTATTTTTTTGATCAGTAACCCTAATTCTGTGCTAGTTAGACCACTCAGAAGAGATAATAGGCTCAGATTCAGCAACATACTTAAACATATGTCTAACTTTAGGCAAATGTGTAGTTCTATTGAATTCTGAATTAGGGCCATAAATAGGCATCTCTGTGTTGTCCCAGTAACAATATCACATTTCAGCAATAAATTTGGGAGCTGAATTCAGGCAATGTTTCACTACGTCCATGATGCTCACAGACACTTATCCATGACAGCAAAAAAAGCTCTAAATTAGCACCGAGCATGAGAGTGAGTGGGGTGTGTGTGTCTGGTCTTTTGTCTATTTCAAATGTAATATTAAAGGGTGATCTGGGTGAACAGTGTCTTCCTCTGTATCTTATACAGTAACCGGATGGCTCATCTATGAGAACATGGCAGTACATGTAGCATGGACAGAGATGACTGCCCTGTCAGACCTGAGCTGGATTTATTCCGCAGATGTTGGAGTTTAGTCTACAGGATTGTCAGTCTAGATCTTTTAATCACCAAGCTTGCTATGATCTAAAAGAAACATTTCTAACTAAAACAAAAGTTTTTGTATGGACCAGGGAAGGAAAAGGGGCAATTCATCCCTTAAATAGGGCCTCTCTCTCTGGCCCACTGTTAGTCAGGCAAGTTAAACAGATACACAGTGCTACAGTCATGTGCAGATTCTGCATAAAACACCAGCAGGGGAGGTTCTCCCCAAAGAAATTTCCTAGAGCGTTTAAGGCCAGCTCACATCACATGGCCCCCTCTGACTAAATGCCGGGAACTTCCCAGCTCCACCAGAAAAAGAGAAACTGTTTGGTTTTCACATGAACAGAAGACATCTCTAAATGAATCCTGCAGACATTGAACTGAACAGACGAGCACACAGAAAGCCAGCATTTACCTTGGATAAAGGTTAAGTGAGGGCGGGGGGAGGGAGGGTAGGAGGGAGGGAGAATAAACATGGTGAGAAGTGAAACAGATCAAACAAAAAATCCAAACACTTTTTTTTCTTAAGCTTAAAAGTCTTCTCTCCACGGTCACAGTCATACTCTCTTTGAGACAGTGTCTCATCCTAATACACTAGGGCTGCGGGACATTTTAGAAGCCAACACAAATTTATCACTAGATTATTTATATTTTTCAAGATGACAGTAAATAACAATTAGGTTATAATACCACCTAGTTCTTATAAAGCACTCTTCCTCAGCAGATCTCAAAGCATTTAAACAAGGAAGTCAGTATCATTATCCTCACTTTACAGATGGGGGAAACTTTGGCTGAAAGGGAAGTGACCCAGGTCCAGCAAGCTGTGGCACAGCTGGAAATAAAACCCAGGTCTCATTAAACTCAGACCACATTGCCTCCTACAGAATATATCTGCAGAATTCAGTTTAATACTCCCTTTTAAAAAAGGAATGTTTTTTATAATGCATGTACAGCAGAAAAAACAAATCCCATGTTTATTTACAGGGTTGGACAATTTTGCAGCAATTTTATCAAGAGCCTCAGCCCTACCTTTTTATATCAGGTATGACATTGCAGTTCCTACCAACAGTGAAATTATTTCTTTTTAAATCACCACTTTGATCTTTTCCCACTTAAATATCAGAATTTAACTGACCAGGGTCTAAAACAGGAAGGGACTGGTGCCTTCTGCATCTTCCCTTCTCTCCAAATCCAGTAATTATCAGTCCCACTATAGCTCCAGGCACTCAGTCTGCCTCTGTGATACTCCCATCTATTTTCAAGTCTCACCTATAAATTTATTCTCTCTTGCCTGTCTCTCTCAAACTGAGATGTTTCTGCTGTTATTTCTTATTTAGCTCTGGAAGGTGTTTTGGGATAAAGTCTTTAATAAAGATGCACTAACCAGATGAGTCAAGTTCTATTCAAAACTAGTGATGAGTCAGCACCAATATCATAAATTTCAACAATCTTAAACTCCAGATTTCATCTCTCTAAGAAAAACTGGTCTGTTTGGTTTACTCATGTGAGTTTAAATCTTTAATAATAATCTTTAAATACTACTGTCCCTCCTAATTTCACCCCAGCCTGGAGCTGACCAATCAAAATGATGCTGAGAGGGGGAAAACCACCATTCAGGATTATTATCAGTTATTTAATGTGATACAGGCAGAGTAAGACACCTGGCAGAAGTTTGTAAGTGGGTTAGACAACGCAGGGATGAGACGAGCTGGGACAGCAAGCAGTTCTGGTAGTGGAGGGAGGCTCTGTGTATATGGCACAGGGAGGCTGAAGGAGAACAAGGCAGGGAGGATTTTTGGACAGAGCAGATTTGGAGGCTTAGTTATAGAAGCGCTGACAAAGTTAATTGAGAAGTCTGAAAATAATTGAGAGTGAGCCCAGCTCTCCCCGGAGTGCATCGCCCACATCCCCAACAGGACCCCCAGCCCACTCTCCTTGGGGTGCGCCACCGCACCCTCCTCACCAGCAGCCCCCTTCTCAGAGTGTTTCCCCATTACCAGGGGGATCCCTGGCCCCACATTCCCCCCGGGGGTGTCTCCCTTTCCCACTCCCCAGGACTCCCCCTCCCGCTGCTCTCCCGGGGGCTCACGCATCCCCCCAGGATCCCTGTCCTGACGCTCTCCCCGGGGCGCCCACCCCTGCACCGAGTCTCCCCGCTCCCACCGGAGCACGACCCACCCCTCCGGGACCCCCGCTCTCCCGCGGGGCGGCCCCCACCGGAGCGCCCTCGCTAGGCCGCCCGCGCACCCCGCTCCCAGCAGAGGTCACTCACCCGTCCGCCCCGCTCCCACCGCCGAGAGATAAACTCGGATCCCGGCCACGCTGAGCTCAACTGCCGGCCCGGAGCTGAGGGGACGGGCCCGGCCGCAAGCCCCGCCTCCTCCTGCCCGCCCCCGCCGGCGCAGCGCCCTGCGCGAGGGCGGGGAGGGAAGAGGAAGAAAGAAGAGGGGCAGGGGGCAGGGCAGAAGAGGGGGGGGCAGGAAGGATGAGGGGCGCAGAGCGGGGGGGGAGTAAAAGGGGCAGGGCAGAAGAGGGCAGAGGAGGAGAAGAAGGGGGCAGGGAACAGGGGGTGGGGCAGAGCGGGGAGGAGGAGCGGTTGTTCCCCTTTAGGGATCCCTTCCTGGCCCGATGGGGTCAGGGGGAGCAGTTTCTCCTGGGAATAGCCAAAGCACACACCCCTTCCTTCCCCCGTGACAGGCGGGGAAGTGGCACCTTGGGAGAAGGGAAGGGATCACACAGTGCCACGGGCAGGGGCACCAAGAGGGCCCATGGTGAGAAACCCCTGTCACAACCCCAGCCCCAGGCCTGGCTTTCAGGCCCCCTGGATTGACCTAAGCCACACTCGTCATGTGCCACTTTGTCACTCACAACGGAAGGAGTGGTGGGGAGGGGGAGATAGGCCTGTCTGTCTGTCATTACACTGGGGAGCCCTATCCTGTACAAAAAGAAAAGGAGTACTAGTGGCACCTTAGAGACTAACCAATTTATTTGAGCATAAGCTTTCATGAGCTACAGCTCACTTCATCGGATGCATTCAGTGGATGCATTCAGTTTTTCCACTGAATGCATCCGATGAAGTGAGCTGTAGCTCACGAAAGCTTATGCTCAGATAAATTGGTTAGTCTCTAAGGTGTCACAAGTACTCCTTTTTGCGAATACAGACTAACACGGCTGCTACTCTGAAATCTAACCTGTACGTAACACTAAGGCCAGGGCTGCAGCAGAAACGTATTGCTGGTGTAGCCATACTGGTATAGCCTGACCGGCAAACCCTCCTAGTGGAAACACATCTTATACTGGCAAAAGAGTGCTTCTGCACCTGTTCCCCACGTGAAATAATCTGTGCCAGCAAAAGAACTTGTATGTTACTATAACTGTTAATATAGAAATGTTGTTTAAAAAATCACACACCTAAACTGGCAAAAGTTTCTTGTGTAGACCTAGCCTAAGGGTGAGATACAAACCAACACCTCTTGCCATCAAATTCAGTGTTTGGGCCCAAGCTGAATCTTTAGTCCCAGCACACTCAAACCCTTTGGCATTAGTTCTAGGGTGCACACCAGAGAATCAGAGGATGTGTTGTATTAGATTAGATCATTGCTGGTTTGCTTCATGGTATGCTTCATGCCGTGTGTGTAGAAAAACTGGACACTGTCATCATATGGTCTTTTGAACTACATCACATCATTCTAACTATCCTCCTTGTCCCAAATGCAATATGGACAGGAAGAAACCTTGTTCACCTCAAATAAGTAACAATTAATGGAGTGCTAAAGTAGAGCAACACAGATTATAATGGTAACTAACCCCAAATCGTGTCAAATGAGAGAATTTCTGGGGAATGGTTGGGACTCTGAAATCACATGCCCATTGTCTCCTAGGGTATGTCTATATTACAAAGCACTACTGCAGCTATGCAACTGCTGTACTGTAGACACTTGCTACATGGACAGAAGGGGGTTTTCCATTGCTGTAGTAAATCCGCCTCATTAAGAGGCAGTAGCTGGGTCAACAGAAGAATTCTTCCATCAACCTAGTGGTTGGTTTAACTACATGTCTTAGGGGTGTGAGCAACATAGCTAGTTTGACATAAGTTTTAGGTGTAGGACCGGAACAGAGTGTAACAGAATTTATGACAAAGTTCTGCCTCATGCAGATGGTTTCTTAACTGCCAACAGACATTGCAGAAGAATGACCAGTGGACCAGAATAAAAGAGGAAGACAAGAGAACAGAGGATTACAAAGGAAACAATTACTAGGTTTGCAGAAGAAGGAGTAGGCAAAAAACTGAAAACCAACACTGCAGAGTAACACACTACTGCTTGGGTGAGACATGGGCTGACAAAAAACATCTCAGCTTCCAATAAACCAGCCATGGTATGCAAGAAGAATTGGCACATGGAGCTGATCACAACATTTCATAAGTCTGGGCCAAATCCTGAAAACCAGTGAGTATCTGCAAAGCACTTGCATCCCTCACTGATATCAAAAGGAATTGAGAGTGCTCAAGATTTGGCCCACTGCAGAGGTAATAATAATACTTTCAGCTTTAACTTTCAAGTATGATTACTTCCTAGCATGTCCCGGACTCCCATGAGGGCTGAAAAATTCTCATACAAAGAGTGATGCATTGGTACTAATCTTTCTGAACTGATTAATTCAAATTTGAGAACCAATTAAATCATCCCAATCCTTTTAATTTATAAGTTTAATCTTTGTTGCTAACAAACAGACAAAAGAATCTAAAATTTTCCCATATCTCTCACATTTAAAGATACTTCAGTAATTCCTTAAAGAGAAAATTGTCTCATTTTGCACTAGGATAGCACAAATATTCAGAAATGTCAAATGCCTTTTGAAATCTTAAAAGCTATTTGCCTCAGTGTCATTGAACTATCTTGAAAACATTCTATTTTTTCTCCTTGTCCCTCCTAACTATGAACCAGAGATAGGCATGGCATAATTCAATTATTATTTTTTTATAATTTTAATAGGTAATATCAATGTTAGTTTTTAAGCATTCTTTTTATTTTTAACACTTTAAATGTTCACAGTTGCACAAAATTATGGAAGGGGGTGTCCAACAATAATTATTTAATAATAGTAGACACTGAGATTAAAAAGTTAAAACTTTATAAGTGCTAACACAAACTATCGACATCACATGTCAAAATATAAAAACTAAATATTTTTAAATCAAACTTATACGTTCTCAGGCAGCATTTTTCTTACTTTGCCTGTCTATAAATTTCTATTATTATAGATGGAAATACTTTTTCATCAGTTTGTGTGAAATTGACATTAACCAATAAAAATCAAATGCTTCCAAGCCAAATCACAGAGAATCTTTGACATTTTACACATTCAAAACCACTAGTCTTCTAGTATTCTGTGGTTTACAATGTTTGGGCTGAATTCAGCCCCAGTTACCTTTTTGGCTGGGTTTGCATTGAAAGGCGGGAATGCAATCCCTGAAACTGAATGTTGCCTAATATTTGTTTTTCAGATGCAGCCTTGAACTGACAAAGATCAGTTGCGTTCAATGTGCAAGAATAAGGAAGGTGCCAACAACTCTAGGTCTACTGACTCACCGCCCATGTCTTGTTTTGTGATATTATACATGGGCTGAAAGATCCACTTTTGCTTAACTGTACAGATTAAAATGATACATTTAATATTATCCTTTCCTAAGGCTCTAAACATGCATAATGGTAATTGATAGTTGTGTCGCAGTGGCAGAGAAAAAGGTGTCTGACCAGATTTTTCACTCTTGACCAAAAATAAATAAAGATGAAATGTGCTGATTATTTCTTTGAGTGGTAGATGTTTAATATACTGCCTTGATTGTTTACTGTACAATGTTGATAAAGTCTCAGCTGGAGTACTGTGTCCAGTTCTGGGCGCCACATTTCAGGAAAGATATAAACAATTTGGAGAAAGTCTAGATAAGAGCAACAAAAATGATTAAAGGTCTAGAAAATATGACCTATGAGGAAAGATTGAAAAATCTGGGTTTGTTTAGTCTGAAGAAGAGAAGACAAGACTGAGGGGCAACATGATAACAGTTTTCAAGTACATAAAAGGTTGTTACAAGGAGGAGGGTGAAAATTGTTCTCATTAACCTCTGAAGATAGGACAAGAAGCAAGGGGGTAAAATGCAGCAAGGGCGGTTTAAGTTGGACATTAGGAAAAACTTCCTATCAGGGTAGTTAAACACTGGAATAAATTACCTGGGGGCATTGTGGAATCTCTGTCACTGGAGGTTTTTAAGACCAGGTTAGAAAACACTGTCAGGAATGAACTAGTTATTACTTAGTCCTGCTTTGAGTGAAGGAGACTGGACTAGATGACCCACTGAGGTTCCTTTCAGTCCTACACTTCTATGATTAGGTAATAAAGGACAGTTCATTGAAGAGCCCTCTAGACACACCTTTCACATGAAAAGGTGAGAGCCTAAGTCCACTTGCGGTAGAGGAAAATTGAGCACTGAGTTAGTGGCTACCATTACATTAGACCAATGCTTAATTGGTATTGAAAGAGGTGTTGGGTCTCAAGCAATTAGGTGCTGGAGCTCAAGCAATTTTTTTACTTTCATAACTGACACGGCAGGCCCAGATGTGCCGGGGCTATGAACTACCAAGCCTAGAGGTGCCAGGGCTCAGCCTTGGGAAGTCCTGGCACAAATTAAGCACTGCACTAGACCCCAATGCTGAAAAAGCCAATAAAAGGGATAATGAACTGGAAAATGAGGGGATTAAAATAGATTTGGGGAAAATGCTACCTATTAGGTATAAGGAAATACAGCTATGGGAAATGATGTGGCTATACAGATTAGAAATGATGCCAGAAAGACCTGCTACAATAAGTTGGACACACCTGTTTTGTGCACTTATTAATGCAATGTTATGGCTGAGCCCTTAAATTCTGGCTTGAATAGTTATGGCTGAGCCCTAAAAATCAGGAAAACACCTGCCACCACTATCATTTGGCCACATTGCAGTAAGATTTAATAATCAACACTGCATACAGTAATACAAACTGTTACATCAGATCTATAGGGGAAAACTATCTTTGAATTTCCTGACTTCAGTGCATGTAAAAGCTGTAATGTTGCATCCCGCACTTCCTCCCCCACCCTCATTTAATGGCAGCAGCAGCAGCACTATTGCTGGTTCCTCCTGGAGACTGGTCCTGCTGGTGATTTTCATCTGGGTTTTAACTGAGCATGAAGTGTATGGGGACTCCAAGACTAGAGCTGTGAGAATAAGAGATTTTTTGGTTTGGTGGCAGGTCTGAAAAATTAGAAAAAAAGTTCATTTTAGACCAACCCCAAACAATTTATTTTAAATATTCAGCAAATCAAAAAGTTAAAAAGTGTTTTCAGTTCCATGAAATATTATGTTTCATTTTGTTTTGACTTTTGAAATAAAACTGAAAGAAATTTCAAACCAATTCATTTCAAATGGAAAAATCACAATATTTCATTTCTAAAAGGAAAAAATGAAACATTGCAGTTATTTCAGAACTTTTTTTTTTAAGTTGGTTTTTTTTTTCAACTGAAACAATTTGGCAAAATTGACACAAATTCGCAAAATGATGTGTTGGTCGACCCATAATTTGAATGTTTCACCAAAAAATGTTTCAACCAGAACATTTTGCCCAGCTCTATCCAAGACTGGTAGGTCAATCCCAGTAAAGAGTGGCAGCTATTATAAAAGCACTAGAGAGACAGATCTTTATGGAAAAAAGAAAAGGAGTACTTTGTGGCACCTTAGAGACTACCAAATTTATGTTAACAATCCGATGAAGTGAGCTGTAGCTCACGAAAGCTTATGCTTTCAAATAAATTGGTTAGTCTCTATGGTGCCACAAGTACTCCTTTTCTTTTTGCGAATACAGACTAACACGGCTGCTACTCTGAAACCTGTCGTTATGGAGTAACTCTACAAAACCCAAATGAGAAACAACAAAGCAAAGAAACAATTACTACAGCATTTTCATCTTCTCCCTCGAGAGGTTAACTATAGAGGAATTTGGCATATTAACCAAATTGTGTCAGCTAAAGAGGAATACGGAAATAATATTTGCTGGAATTGCAAAGCAAACAAACAAACAAAAAATTCTCCAGACTGAATGTTTTGAATTCTGGTTGTTTTTCCTTTCTGCTGTACGTGCTTTTATATTTGGTGAAAAACACAAAGTAAATCTTTAAAGATTAGGCAATTAGCCTCCATCTGTTTTTCCTTCAGCAGCACTGTATGGTATCAGGTTCTATAGTTAATGTACCTGTGTGTTAACAGGACTTTTGTCCCAGGGTAGATCTGGTTACTTTTCTTACATTTTAGTGCCATGCCGCTGTAGTCTTCAGTATTTGATCCAGGGTATGTTGATGTGTAACCCACACACCTCCTGAGTGTGGTGCTCTGTCCCATCTAGTGGCACTGAGACCACTTAAAGAGAGAGATAAAATGAGTCTGCTCTACAGCCTTAGCTAGCAGCCAATTGGCTTTTCGTTCATGCAGTAGAGGCTCATGCATTAAGCTGCAGAAGTCCCCAGTTCGATCATGTCTGATGATGACTGGGGTCTGTCAGCGTTACAGATGCACAGGTCCCTTCTCTCTCCCCCATGCTCTTCTCCTATCATACTGTTTGTGCACTCTTTTTGGGAACACTTACCATTAAATAGCATCTGTCATGCCCAAACTATTGGGGCTTATTGTATTTACACCATTGTGGGATTTTGGGGAGGCAAAAGCGGGAGAGGAGAAACCCCATTTAACAGCATGTATTAATTGCCTCTTAAATATCAGCTAGGCCATACCAAAATGTTCCTAAAAGACAGAACTTCCAGGCTATTAGTGTACCTGGTTTCATCCAGTGACCCCATGACAATCATCACCCTTTACAAGATCACCTTTGTGTGACACTCAAAATGCCTATTTCCCATCTGTTTTGCCAACCCAGCATGGTGGGTGTTTTAGGTGGTCCAGAGATTCATTTTGGATGCCTATTCAAAGCTAATGTATCAGAACCTCTTGGCTCTGGATCTTGGCTCATTCTGATGCGAACTGGTTTTGGCTGCACTTTGGGAATCACCTTTCTTATAGTATTTCTGTTTGCAGTAACTGCAACTGCAGAAAGGGAAGAGGTACATATGCATTTTAAAACAGAATGAAAATATTGCTTGAACCCACAGGAAAACTGCAGGGTTGGGCTCTATTCAATTTTAATTGGGGGTGAATGTTCAGCTTGTTTTATCTGAAGCAGCTCCCTCATCCCTAGATATCATTAGGGTGGAACAAAATGAGCCTTGCTGTAAAATGAGGGAAGATATTTCAAAAGGTTGAAGTTCCAATTTGTGTCAGTCACCCATCTTAGGAAGTACATCAGCCAATGCTACAAGATGGGGCATCAGCTGATATGTAGGGCTGGAGGCTAGGAACTGCATGCACAAGGGCATGCGTGGCTTGCTGTTCACTGAATCAAGTACACAGGTTGTGTTTATAGCAGGTGCAAACATGCATGCTCATTCTATACGAACTGGTTTTGGTTTTTTCACTCAAAAAATAGAGGGGAGGGGAAGTAGGATGGGGAAGGCCACAAATGATGGTTCATTAGTAGTATTGTCGAAGAAAATGATGTGCTGTTGTAACATGTGGTGTAACATGGATTTATATAAGGGCAATAAGATATTCTCCATCTTATCCTCTATCTTTTTAATTGATTCCTAACATCCTGTTTGCTTTTTTGTCTGCCACTGCACACTGCGTGGATGTCTTCAGAGAACTATCCACAATGACTCCAAGATCTTTCTCCTGATTAGTTGTAGCTAAATTAGCCCCCATCATATTGAATGTATAGTTGGGGTTATTTTTTCCAATGTGCATTACTTTACATTTATCCACATTAAATTTCATTGCCATTTTGTTGCCCAATCACTTAGTTTTGTGAAAGGAGTCACTTTGCGCCCAATGACTTCGCTGCCCAGGAATCAGAGGAACAGCCGTGTTAGTCTGTATTCGCAAAAAGAAAAGGAGTACTTGTGGCACCTTAGAGACTAACCAATTTATTTGAGCATGAGCTTTCGTGAGCTACAGCTCACTTCATCAGATGTATACCGTGGAAACTGCAGCAGACTTTATATACACACAGAGAATATGAAACAATACCTCCTCCCACCCCACTGTCCTGCTGGTAATAGCTTATCTAAAGTGATCAACAGGTGGGCCATTTCCAGCACAAAGCTGGAAATTGAATTTTGTGTGGGGGGGTGGAGGGTGAGAAAACCTGGCTCAGGCCTCACAGACAGACAGCTCAGTCCACAAATAGCTATCCAAAATTGTTATATTCTGAGTATACAGTATGGTGCACTATTGGGTCCTCCTAGAGTCAATAGCTAAACTGGTATTAAAATTCTCATAGGATTGAATTCTTAAAAAATCACTGGGCTCAGGCATATTTCCTCATAAATCTTCATCTAATCACCTTTGTCCTTTCCCTCCTCCCCCAAGGCACAAGTAGGCGGCATTAAAAATAGAAGTAGTCTCAAACTCATATTTTCTCATTTTATAACAGACAAAATGTGACCTGGAAATAAAACTGTAGTGTCAACTTAGTATCCACGTTAGAAAAATCTGCCTTCCTAGATATTAATTTTCACCTGCAAGCCTCTTTCACCTTAGGCAGTATTAGGAGATCTGTGTATCTAGTTCACCTGCCATACAGCAGGAATGACAAAATCCTTTTCTCCCACCATCACAGCTAAATTAGCCAACAATGTGGATACCGCACCCCACTCCCCCTCCACACACACAGTTTGGCAACGTATTGCATCCCCAACAAATTCTACTAG